GTGTATATCAACTTTAAAAAGACGTTCTCTGCAGGCTTATATTGTTTTTCCCAGAAGACGCTGAAAGGATGTGCTGAAGATAAAAAATTGAAGTGACCAGAGGTCGGGTTAAAATCATAATTAACCAAGAAATTCATCCTGAAGAGGTGTTAGCTGTCAAATCTTTTTTCTTTCCTCTCTCTTGTAAGCTCCAGCGGTGGTCCCTTGGAGAGGGTATAAAGGGAAGTGATCATTTGATTCTCCTGGGGGGTAATTCTAGAAGGCTCCGATGCCTGGCTTCCCATTTTTCAGTAGAGAATCATGTTTGGGGATCCCTGGGTGGCGCAGCGGTTTGGCGCCTGCCTTTGGCCCAGGGCGCGATCCTGGAGACCCGGGATCGAATCCCACATCGGGCTCCCGGTGCATGGAGCCTGCTTCTCCCTCTGCCTGTGTCTCTGCCTCTCTGTCTCTGTGACTATCATAAATAAATAAAAATTAAAAAAAAAAGAGAATCATGTTTGTGGCTAGTATCAATGTAAGTCAAACAACTAAAAATATTAAAAGGCTTTGCATTTTATTTTGTAATTTACCATCTTAAAGGCAATCTGGTTCTTAACTTTTAATGGAAAAAAAAAAAGGTCTGCAGTAAACATTAAGGTTGCTTAGAAACCTGGGTCCATAATTTGGTTCTCAAAAGCTCTGAGGCAGGCAGCCAGTTGCTTGTGGAAAAATATAGCAAATTTGTTTTGTGTATGCATTTAAAACACCCCTGTTTGTTTCGGGTGTGTGCTAATTTGTTTCTTCCTTTTTGGCATGGAGTCATTCTCTTTTTCTTGGCATCTATAAATGAGACTGGCTTCCCCAACAGTACTATTTTGACAGGCTATAGACTAATATTCTTCTTCTTAACATATATTTATTTATACCCTCTCTTTCTAAGAGGATTTAGGGCAGCTTGGAAAGATTTACATTAAATATCAAAATTAAAAAATGTGTAGTTCTACACACTTGCTCCAGGTGTGGCTATAAGCTTTTTACTGACCACATTAAGGGGGGGATGTGTGTTCTTTTGTAGTTCTTATTTAAATTCACGATTAACAGAGTGTAATATTCGTTTCAGGTACATGATGCGGTGATTCGGCCCTTGAACACATCACCCAGCGCTCATCACGACAGGTTCCCTCCTTCATCTCCATCACCTCTTCCCCCAGCCCCCACCCACCTCCCCTCTGGTGACCAGCAGTGTGTCCTCTGTTGTTAAGAGTCTGTTCCTTGACTTTCCTCTTTCTTTTTATCCCCTTTGCTCATTTGTTTTGTTTCTTAAATTCCACATAGGAGGGAGACCATATGGTAGGTCTTCCTCTGACTTATTTCACTTAGCATGATACTCTCTGGCTCCATCTGTGTCATTGCAAATGGCAAGATTTCATTCTTTTTTATGGCTGAATAATATTCCATTGTGAATATAGACCACATCTTCTGTATCTATTCATCAATTGTTGGACACTTGGGCTGTTTCCATAATTTGGCTATTATGGATAATTCTGGGATAAACATTGGGGTACTGTGTCTCTTCGAATTAGTACTTTTGTATTTTGGGTAAATACTGACAGGTGTAATTCCTGGATCACAGGGTAGTTCTACTTTTAACTTTTTGAGGAACCTCTGTACTGTGTTCCAGAGTGGCTGTACCAGTTTGCATTCCCATTAACAGTGCAGGAGGGTTCAAAGGGAAGGGGTTTCTTTTTTTAAAGATTTACTTATTTATTAGAGACAGAGAGAGACAGAGAGAGAGAGAGAGAGAGAGGCAGAGACACAGGCAGAGGGAGAAGCAGGCTCCATGCACAGAGCCCGACGTGGGACTCGATCCCGGGTCTTCGGGATCACGCCCTGGGCTGAAGGCGGCACAAAACCGCTAAGCGACTGGGGCTGCCTGGAAGGGGTTTCTTAAAAAGGAAAAATAAGACGAATGTCACTTCAATTTATCTAATTCAGCCAGTCTCCATTAAGGATTTGAGATGGGATTAGGGAGCAGAAATTTCTGAATTTTTGTTTATTTTTAAATTTTGTTGTTGTCATTGTTTATTAAATAAGCTCTCCACCCAATGTGAATTGGGCTTGAATTCACGACCCCGAAATTAAGAGTCACAAGCTCTATCAACTGTGCCAGCCAGGTGCCCGTTTGTTTGTTTTTTAAAGATTTCATTTATTTATTTATTCATGAGAGACACAGAGACAGAGAGAGAGAGGCAGAGACACAGGCAGAGGGAGAAGTAGGCTCCCTGTGGGGAGCCCGATGTGGGACTCGATCCTGGGACCCCGGGATCACGCCCTGAGCTGAAGGCAGATACTCAACCACTGAGCCACCCAGGTGTCTAGCCCTTGTTTGTTTTTAATAAGAAAAAAATGCACACATACACACAGTAAAAAAAAATGTAAAAAGTATGCAAGTATATATAAAACACAAAGTGATTTTAAATAAAGAACAAAAGGTGGCATTTGTCATCCAAGCCTCTCTCCTCAGAGATAATGACTGCAACAGCTTGGAGTACATATTTCCAAATTTTAAAAGCATGCACATATTGTAAAGGTATGTGCGCTGCGTAAGCTGTTTTATATAAACAGAGTCAGATTCCGCATACATACTCATGTTATTGTTTTTCACTCAGCTATATATTAGGCAACTCTCCACTAATTTGTATGTGACAGTTTGTTTCTTTTATGTTCTTTCTCCAGAAGTTATAAACAAGGCTGTGGTGCTATGGTGCTATTCTTGTCGACTTAGGAATTCTTGTACAGAACCTGTGTGTGTGTGGGGGTGAGGTCTTTAAATGTGGATCATTTCCTTTTTGGAGGGTTGTTCTTTTTGCTTTTTAGACACTGTTAGCAAACTAAAGATAGTAATCCATTCTTTTTTTTTTTTTTTAAAGATTTTATTTAATTATTCATGATAGTCACACACAGAGAGACAGAGAGGCAGAGTCACAGGCAGAGGGAGAAGCAGGCTCCATGCACCGGTAGCCCGACATGGGATTCGATCCCGGGTCTCCAGGATCGCGCCCTGGGCCAAAGGCAGGCGCCAAACCGCTGCGCCACCCAGGGATCCCTCCGTTCTTTTATATACCTAGCAAACGTTTTCTCCGGTTTCTGGTTCACCTTTCACCTTTGGGTACAGCCTCTCCTGCTCTGTCTCATCACAGAGCCAGATGGAGGACCTGAGAGTTGACCCTGGGCCTGTGGCTCTCCACACCCAGGATCCTGATCCTCCTCCTCCTCTTCCCAACTCCCTCGCATGCAGCTCCTGCTGTGGGCGGACTTGTTGTCTGTAATACTGGAGGGTATGTACTAAGAAATACACTCCCTGTCAGTAACAATTAAAAAGCCCTACACAACTTATACAGAATAGGGAAACGTAACTACTCACCTGCCAGAAGGCGACCATGGAGACTGTATCAAGAGTCGTGGTAAGGATGCTGGGCAAAGGCAATTCTCACATACTGCAGGGGGTAGGCCTACGGATGGGCTACTTCAGAAAACGTGTCTGCTAAAGGAAAAATAAACAGAACTACAAATACATGGATCTCCCGTGCCCCAGTAATTCCACCCCCAGGTGTGTGTGCAACAGAAACCTGCATAGGGCACCAAAGCCGTGTGTAAGAATGTTTGTGGCGGTACCTTCGTAACCGCAAACATCTGGAGACAACTCAGTGCCCGTGGTCGCAGAACGGATAGATACACAGTCGTTTGTTCACACAGTGAGAGCGCATGCGAACACCGCACACCACGCTGAATGCAAGAAGTCAGATTTGAACCACAGGGCGTGTATGTGAAGTTCAAAACCAGGCAAAACTGACCTGTGATGTTAGAAAACAGGATGGCGACCAGAAGGAGGTGCCAGGTGGGCCTTCTGGGTGGTGAAGGATGTCTTTTTGTGATGTGAGGAGTGGTTACAAAGGTCTGCCTCCTTTTTAAAAATTTAATAAGGTGTACACTGTATTTATGGCATTTTCTATGTGTGCTATTACTTCAGAAAAAAATCAAAAGATAACAAAATAATGACAAGTAGTTTTTAAAACTGAATCAGATAAAGATTACCAGGGAGATGGCTTTTAAGAGCAAATTACATATATATATATATAAAAAAGAGCAAATTATACAGGAAAGGTGCCTGGGGGGCTCAGCTGGTGAAATATCTGACTCTTGATTTTGACTTAGGCCATGATCTCAGGGTTGTGAGATCCAGCCCCGCCCAGCATGGAGCCTGCCTGGGATACTCTCTCTCCCCCACTGCCCCATCACTCTCTTTCTTGCACATAAATAAATAAAATAAATAAAAATTAGCCATGAGTGCTTCCTCTTTGAATGCTGTGCTGAATGCCAGCTGTTTAAGTGTCTTCCCCAAGTATCACTTTCTTGTTTTGCAGATGAATGGAATAGAACTCAGAGAGGTTAAGAACTTTCTCCAGGGCCACACGGCCTAGAAAGGGGTTAGCTGGTACTCCAACTCAGGTCTGTCCTTCTCTGGTGCCCTTATTTGAACATGTCATCTCTCTTGAAGCAATCACAGCATATAAACAAAGGTGCTTCTATGTTAGAGGGATATGGAAGAGAAAAAAGGTGTGGGAGCTGTGGTGTGATAGGTGACAAGTGGCCCTGGGGGATTCCAGGGTTCCCGTGGATACTGGAATGCAAATGGAGCACCTTGGATGAGACCCCGCAGATAATGGGAGATAGTGGGTGGGATGTGCTTCCTCACTTAGATGCTCACTGTAGGCCTCACAGGCCTGCCTCCAGCCCCGTCCCCGACCTTAACTAAGGAAGGACTGGAGGGGAGGGAGACACACGAAGCTGCGAGGCCAGAGCAGTGACGCCTCGCTGCTCACCAGGCACAACGGCTGCCAACGTTTGGGCATTTCAGCGTTCAAAAATAGTTTTAAAGTTACTCCAGAATATTTGGCTAAGAGAAGAGTGTGATGAACCCCACCACCAAGAGAAACCAAACCATTTGAAAGGCAAATACATGTATTTGTAAACATAGCATTTTATTAACAAAATGTTTACACCCTTCTTACAATACAACAAATTTTGTAGTGATTTTGCATGTTATACTCTATAAAAGTTCATCATCGAATATCCGAGCTAAAACGATATAGTTTTAAAAGTATGCCAAATCTACCACCGTCTGCAAACTACCTACTACCAGCAATAAGTACAAAAAGAAAAGTCTTATTAACAAAAATCAAAAGATCTAGTTTTCGCTTGTCAGCATCTACAAACAATACAGACATCATATGGTTTACATGTAGACTTAGGTCCAGCCCAAGGTAAAGACTGCAAAAATAAAGTCTTTGACATCCACACGAGCTTGGCCATCCCCATTACAATATTCCATCACAGGTGATTAAGCGATGCGTCATGCAGTGAAGCCACGGCTATAAATTTGGGCTGTTTATAGTGCTGCAAAGCGGCCTAAACTGTAAGCAACTTAATGTTTTTTTTTTTTTTTTTTCCAGAATAGATGCTATCATAAAAAGGCACAAATATCTTACTCCTTGCATCGGGTCTTGAAAAGGCATGACATTCTTAGGAGAAATAAGGATTGCTGGTACGACAGCTTAGCTTTTATTTATTTATTTGTAAATGTCTAGGCTCATCTCCACAGCTGCTTCTCTTCCAAGACTTTAAACTTGTGTTTTTTACATACTTTAACAGGTGCTCTGTTGCACATCGAGCAACGTCCTGACGCTTAAACTATCTCATCACCGACTCTGAAACCCCTTCTGTCAGTCATGTTGCCACCGACAGCCAGGGCTGCCTGTTTCCTCGCTGGGAAGAGGGGAGCTCCTCACCTAAAATTAGCCTTGGCATCTCCCGACAGCGCTCACGGGTGGTGACTCCACCACTGCCGCCTTGGAAGGCGGGGTGGGAAGGGATGTCACACGCACTGAGGGGGCTGGTGCTGTGCGTCTTTAAGGGAGAGTCCACGGCAAAATGAGAAGAAGAGAAATAAGGCAAGGAGGCTGTTTCGATCACAGAGAAGGCAAGACATCAATTCTTAAGAAGGTCAGAGGCATGATTGACAATTATGTGAATGACTCATAAGGTGAAATGATGCAAAGACTGAGCAGGATGAGAGTAAAAAAAGAAAAATCTTTTCCAGGCCAATACAGTTCTGTCTACACGAGACAACAAATGGTTTAAAAATAGAGCCACCAATCAGTTGCTCTGACTAGCCAGCTGCCGATAACCCCCTCCGCCTGCACCGAATCGACCCGTCACTCTGACATCACGTGCATGGCCCGTATTAAGAAAAAGTTCCATAAACTATGTAATAACCTCCTATGCAAAGTCAGCAGAGGTACACAAACTTCAGCCTTGCTTTCAACATTTTTCAGGGGGTAACACTGACTATTTAAGCACAAATTTGATGGAAAAATGGATAAGGGACAAATGACAGGAGAACGAGGCCCCGAGGTGAAGTCACCGGCTGCCACGGGCCGGACAATGTTCCCGACTGGGCTCTGGACTCGCCGTGGGGAAGGAGGTGTGCTCCGCTTCTCCACAACCTGACTGAAGAGGTCATGGGAGTTTCCTGGGCAATTTCAGTTCTGAGCAAAGACTATCGGCCCTCCGTGCAATCTGCTATTTTAAAGATGATTTTCTTCACAGTACTGCATTAGACAATCTGCTTCCAGAAACGATGAAATGTTCCTGAATCAAGAAGTGGCATCAAAACCAGCATGTTTTGTTTCTGTTGAGTGATTAAGGAGAACATTAAGATCTACAGTTTAAAAATACCAATTAAAGAAGGTTTTTTCAAACGACCATTACTATCTTAGGGTTTCCCATTAATTAGCTGAATTCTGGGCACTTGAATTCCTGTTCATGGAAAGCTACCCAGAATTTGGTTTGCTTCATTTATGAAGCGTTTTGATGAGATTCTGGGCACCTTACAGATTTGAAAACGAGCTAGCAATAAACTAAATACTTTTTTCTTAAATTTGTTACGACTCCATGGTTTTAATTCAGTATCTGCTGATGACACATCCTCATCTTACTATTTAAAATGTTCAACGTAATAAAAGGAGAAGATGGAAGGTTTAAAATTTTTCTTTTTATTAAACTTCTGAATCCTTTTGTTTTGAAGCCAAAAATATCCTAGCATCTATAATTGATTATACTCTAAAAGGAAAGAACACAGATATTAGTTATTTCTGATGGTGCAGACCATCAAATTAAAGTTGATCTATGCTACTGGAAAGTCCTTCTAGATTTGGAAAGTAAATCATTTTCCTATATACTCAGAGCATCCTGAAGGACAAACCGAGAAATATGGGGATTCTTGGTTTTATTTATTCACTTTCTTCATTATATCTAATGAAACTTCATCACGCCAGGTCTCCCTTATCATTCTCTTAGATTGAAAAAGTGGAGGCTCCTGAAAAATGTAATACCCTTCTAATATTTTTTAGACTTTCATTTGCACATAAAACAGGACAAATGCCCCAGAATTCCATTAATGTTTCTCGCAAATCAGATAATCAAATTGCCCGGATTTCTATTACTGGAAGTCAAGACAAGTAACTCTGCTGTCAAGAGAAATTGGCAGAGGTTGTTTCTTCCACGCCTAGACTAGATTTTCACCCGACCTCCCTTTTCTAAAACTATGCAGTATAATGTGTATCTCCTGGACAGATCTGTTCCTTGGACTGGATTTTTTTTTTATTTTTTTATTTTTTTATGATTGTGCTGCAGGAGTTAAGTCTCCTAAGCATCATCTTGAATCGTTGAACTTCTCATGCATCAAGCTAATTGAAGGCAGGCATATATAGTCATAGCTTGATTCTTAAAAGTACATTCCACTTCTTCTTTAAAAATACATTAAATAACCGTTAAGAGGTAGACTCTCCCTTGAAGTCAAACAGTAAACAGAAGTCATGCTGCTAGTCCCTTTAAAACAAATTTAAAAGAGGAAGAGTTTTCTACAAGTTTACACCATCTAGCTTATCGTGGTCGTTAACTTTCATCATAGAGTCAGGAAGAACATTTACAGATAACAGAGTTGAGAGAAGAGAGCCAGCCTGAGCGTGTGGGCTGTCATCCCCCTACAACGTTTTAAAGCCGGTACCTCGTAGATACCAGAGTTAAGGGACTCTCGGTAACTTTTCCTCAGAAGGAGAGGATTCTCTCACTACTTAGGCTCTTGCAAGGACATCTGAATGTGCAGGGGCTCATGTGTCATATATAACATACTGTGAACCTATATCTTATACAACCATGAGGCCATGAATCATGTTCTCAGCGTGTTCTGAACAAAATGAGTGGAAAAGAAGGCTTGTAAGAATTTATATAACCTCTTTTTTGCAACTCACCCACAGACTATAAAAGATGCATCTAACAGTGAACAAATGCCTTTTCAAGTCCTGAGGCTGACATGCCAATTAGTGCAGCGTAATCTGAATCAAACCTGTCCATTTTAACATATTGCTGAGAAGGTACCGAGATTCTGGTTTGACATCTCCAGGAAAGCCATGGAGCAGTTATCTAAAGGACATTTTCATTACTATATCTCCCAGAGCTTAATTTAGAAGGTCTCCTAGACCTGTTTTCCTTCTTAGGGGGGGGGGGGGGGGAGAGAGAGAGAGAGAGAGAGAAACAAGACTTAAAGAGAAGTTCTAAAATTATGTGTGGCCTGCCTTCCTTTTATATACTTAAAAAATAATGAAAAATGATCGCCTTGAGAAGGACAACAGCCCACTCCATGGAGGAGGTCAAGCCTCTAATACAAAAGTCTCCGTCCTTCGGATACAGGAGGCATCCGCTTCAAACAAAATCATAAACGGGCAACAAGGAAGTGTGTTATTTTAAAGGGACTCACTCTCTCAGTGGCTATGCGTAGCACTTATCCTGCCTGTGGCAGAAAAGCAGGTGATGGAGGTTTCATTTGGAACCAGAAGGGCTTGCAATAGGTACTTCTCCCTAATCACTTCTTTAAGAGAGTTTAAAATGAAGGACACTTAATCATACTCTTACTTTATGTTCTTTTAATCACCAAATGATGGTTAATTAGTTATCATAGAATCGGAAAAACACTTGTGTGAAAGGAGAGTTCTGGAGGCTGATGGTTTGTAGGACTGGGCACCTGCAAAGAGCTCATTTCAATTTCTCTGAGAGGAATCAATATACACTTGCAGCTAATTAATGATTTTTCTTTTCAATCCCCAAAGTTTTTTAAGATGGTCCTTTGTCAGAAGGGAACTAAAAGGATTTTTTATAGATGGGCTGTGTCTCAATTCCTTTGAAATCTAGCTTTTTCCCCTAAGAAATGACTGAGAATATATGACATGTGGATTAGATCACTGCCTGGCCAGGTTGCTAATCCTAAACACGTTCAAAGTAAAACACTGTTTCTGCCATCAACATCCACCTTTGCAGCACACAAGTGAACAAAACAAATGGAAACATTTCCCCCTATTTTCCTGGGGTACGGATCACATGGATCTGAGATGACAATGTGCTGCTGCTAGTGGTAAGGAGATGCTACATGAGCAGCAGGGTCTCGCTGATTCCTGAGACAGTCTGAGGAAAACGAGGGCACAAGAGAAGAGGCCCCAGTACATGGGAAGACAGCACCGTTGCACGAGCCACCTGTCATTCATTCTGGGCCTAAAACACGTGGCCAGAACCAAACAGAAGCCCTCGCTACAAACAGGGAGGAGCATGAGAAGTCGTGAATAGAGAACAGCTACGGAGGGCCTGAAGAGATGGCCTGTTTTGTGCTAAACGCAGTGACCGTGGGGACAGGCCAAGAGGCAGGCGGAAGCCTCACCAGTACGAGGAGGCACGGAAGCACGCGGCCTTCCCCGGGCACCCAGACACCAGGGAATCATTGACAGTGGCGACAGGTTTGGTGGGAAAACTGTGAAGGTCACAGATGTGCGTCATCTTTTGGTGAAATAAGACAGAAAGGGCCGCCCATATACCGCCTCTGCCTCTTCGTTAGTGAGTCAAGCATCCTTTGTTTTTTATTTTGTTTGTTGTCGTGGAGATAGAGGCCCAGAAGTGGGAATGTCAGGGACACACCAGGGCTGTGGCAGCCAGATGCCCTGATCCATCTGCATGTATAGGAAAGGAATTGCAACCCCCTTCAGGTGTCAAGAGCCCACCCTTAGAATTGTGTGTTTTCTTTTACAGCTTGCTCATTTCACAGTGGGAAAGAAGCAACGTGCTAGGAGGATATAGAGTCCGCATGTATTTTAAACAAAACGTTAGAATTTTCCCTAACTACATTCCTTCCATATGATTTTAGTAAGAGAATAAATAATTTCAAATGCTTAAGATATACACCAGGGAAAAGGGAATCGCTTTTTACTTAATCTGAGTTATAATTTTCCTATTAAAATCTACCCATATCAAGTGGGGGGCAGAGGGAAATAACAATTATTTTTAAAAGTTTCAACTGTTCAGTTTAAGGATAGCTCTGAAAACACAATTTCGTTTGAAATTCAAGCTGTTTCATTTCCTATTTAATCTTGTAAATTTCCTTCCCTTACAATACTCAGGTTGGAAGGGTGCCAAATTAGACCAGGCGCAAATTGTCACCAACTTCACTTCAGTGCTTTATTTTTAGATTATATTAAAAACCTCATTAGGCTCCCTGAGGGAAAGAGTGTTAACCACTAACAGAGGCAGGGGAATATAGGAAACGGAAAGATAAGCTGAATTGTTAACAAGGAAAGCTCGCTGGAAACACTTGTCTGAGGTCGCTGTAAATGCTAAAAGAAACTTATTACCAAGACCAGGTGAAATGACTTGAACTTGGAGCTTAATCTTTTACCCCCAGGCTAGGAAGGGCTAGTCAGGCTTGTCAAAGTGGCATATGTCTTTATTATGATTTCCAGATGGGGTCTGGAAGGGAGGGGTGGGTGGGTGGAAGGCAAGGCAGAGACATCTTTAAAGACTGTAAGCCAAGTGCTTGGTGCTCTCGCACAACATAAATGTGCGTCAGAGCCTCCCTTGAATGGGCTGAGAGGTGGGTGGGCACACAAGACACTGGCTGCAAGATTAAATGGAGTGTTGGGTGAAACATAGAATTTATTAATGTATTTACATAATTTATAATCTTTAAGCAATGGTCTCATAAATATAGACTACAACTTTACATATGCTAAGCAACAGATAACTGTTTTCCCCACCAAAATATCTGGGTTAAATAAAAAATTGACAGCATTTACACCACTTTCTTTACTCTCTTCTTCCTCTTTTTTAAACCACTGCTAGTCAGTTCCAACATATGCAATTCAATTTACTCCAGGCAGCTTCTCTACCACCACCATCTTGATCATGAGAGCTTATTTCAAAAGGTGCCAATAATGTGTTTTGTGACACATACAGGATGAGATCGGAATGCAAACCTCGGGTGAGCAATGCATCTGTTGTTACTGTTATTAATTTACTGTACATATCATGGGCTAAAGTATTCAATGAAAAGTGCTTTGGAGATGGCGGGGACGGAGTCATTTCCATCAGTCCTATAAATAACCCATTTTAGCTCCCAATAATAATTGCCATCCCTCCACTTATGATCACCTACCACATTTTAAATGATACGATTCCCTATAACAAGGATTATACAAGGAAACCAAGGAAATTACAATCTCTGCAAGGTCTTTTTTTCCCTCAAGAACCACGAAAGTGCTAATTTTCCCTTTACAAATGTTACATAAAATCTTGATTACAAAACTACTCAACAATTTAATGCTACCATCCATACAATTACATGTTCCTTTTCAGCAAGGTCAAAAGCCAATGATGCAGTCCCTTTGCACACCAGCCTCGTTACACAATGGAGGTCCGCAGTCTGAAATGTAACTGCTGCAGCCTCCAAAGAGGAAGCAGAACTGGCCAATTTCTCTGAATCCTTTTTGCACGAAGAAGACCCAAACCGGTGAGGCGAAACCTGGCGGCAGGGACCCCAGCCCTCCTGTTAACTTTCTGGACCACCTACTTAATCATCAAGTCTGGGAGGCTGAGGCTCGGTCAGCAGCAGCTTCGCTGCGGCTCGGAAGGCTGTCTCCGGAGCTTGAAGCCCTTACCGCCAGATGGCGGGTTGGCGTCAGCGGACGGAATTCTTCGACCTAGATGGAGAGGAGAAGAGGGAAGGGAATGAGCTTTAACTTTCCAAATCTGTTCATTCTCAGATGCAACAATTGTCCAGGTGTAATTTGACAGGTTTCACTAAGATAAGAGTTGAACAAATTTTCAATCTGGGAATAATTTTCAATTTTACAGAAAAGTTGCAAAGATAATGTAGAGATAGTTGCTATACAGCCCTCACTGAGGACATTCATATCTCAAATTCCTATGGAATATTTGTGAACAAAGAATTCCACATTGGTGCATTGCTAACTAAGGTCCAGGCTTTGTAACGACGACGTCAGTTTTTCTACTAATGTTGTTTCTGTTTCAGGGATATCCTAAACAAGGATATCACATTGTATTTAGTAAAAATTTTTTTAAATAAAAAGAAGTTACATGTCAACAAAACATTCTGGGTAGGGAGTATATGTACCTTGGTAAACCAAAGTCCATCAGAACACACCTGTCACTCTGCCTTGAGGCAAAGCCACCATCCAGAGCAGATGTGCATAGACACGTACAGGACACACTCCCTCCTCTACCTGGTCCCCTCAGTAAGCCCCAAGAGGAGCACAGGGTTGTGCTGCTGTCCACCTTGCAGCTTCCACTGAATGTATTCTGGGGGCTGTTCCACTGCGGTACTATGTCTAATGGCTCTATGGTACTGCATTGCATGGATGTACCCTAATTTATTTAACCATTCCCCTGTTGATGGATATTTAGTTTGTTTCCAACATTGTGATGGTATTAACAACAATGTAAAAAATATCTCTGTGAATGCATGTGTAAGATAAATTAACAGGAGTGGAAGAACTGGGTCACGCTCTTCTACTCCTGGGTATTTATCTGACACATACACCATATTCCCAGGGTCTATTCTAGCACAAATGCAAGAAGGACGTGCAATTTAAATTTTGACAGATGCTGCCAAATTGCTCTCTGAAGAGGCTGTGCCACTCTGTTCTCCTACCAACAATGCATGAGAATGAACAGGTTTCACTTTACTGCTCCATGAAGCATAATGTCAATTTCAGGAGAAACCTTAAATCACCATCCACCTACCCACCCTGTAACACAAGGGTTGCATCCAGGCACAAAGGCCTTCCAGACGCCCTCCCACTTCCTAGCTTTCTCCAACATCTCCCACACTAAAATCAGTCAGGAGCCAGAAACACGTTACTTATTTGCTCACAGAGAGCTGTCCCTTGAATTAGACCTGAAGCTCTTCGAGAGAAAAAGTCCTGTCTCTCCATCTTTATTTCTGGCATCTATATTTAGCACAGCACTGGGCACTGAGGTATTCTGAAAGCTTGGAATGAACGGATACCTGCATCTTCTGGCATTAACAAGGCTGAAAAAATGGAACTTGCCAATTTTCAGGTCCTTGGGTTTCCAAGTCTGGAGCCACCAATATGTTGAGTGGCCTGCAAATCCAGGTGGGTAGTACACAGCATGGTGCATGCTGTCTACACTTGAAAATGTCCCCCACAATGTCCTACGACTACTTTCCAAATGCCTGTAAGATACTGCTGTGAATAAACTGCAAATTTACTTAAAAGATTTACTGAAGCTTGTCACATATTTCTAGTGAACGGATCATGGAAAGCAAGCTGGTATTACAGTGCTATCTCTGAAATAGCCTTGGAAGAAAGCAGAGGAGAACATCTTTATGACCTGGGAATAGACCATGATCTCTTAAACAGGAGCTGAAAAGTGATAACCGTAAAGGGAAATAAAGATAAATTGGATTATATCAAGATTAAAAACCTTAGCTCTGTGAAACAGTTGATTCATAAATGGAGGTCAAGCCACAATCTTTCCAATACATAATCAATGAGGGACTCCTATCCAAAATAAACTATAAAAACTATAAACATAATTAAGAAAAAGGCAAGTAGCCCAACAGGAAAATAGGCAAAGTTCACAAAAGAGATACCCAGATATGGTCCTGTAAAAATAAATACCTAGAAAGGGGCTTAACTTCATTAGCTATATAGATCATAAATGCAGATCGACTTACACTGCAGAGATGGAGTGACCGGGGTTACATATACCAATGGTATGAGTGTCTGCTGGTGTAATCACTTTGAAGACTGGCTGCAAACCCCCCTACCGAACACCTGCATGCCTAGTGACTCAGTGATTCTTTTTCTGGGTATAAATAGACCTAACAAACATGTGTACACAGAGTGTGCACACTGGATACGAAGTGAATGCTCACAGAGGCACTATATGCCATAGCTCTGAACTGTGAGCAACTGCACTCACATACGGATTAACAGGATGGAGAACTACCCTGTGGATATTCTACTCGCCCTCCCCCTCTCAGTGATGAGAGTGAGCCAGGCAATGATATGGATGAATCTAACAAATGTGACATAGAGCTAAAGAAGTCAGACACAAAAGAGTACATACAGTATGTTTTAGAAAAAAATATAAAATATAAAAACAGGGAAAACAAATCTGAAAAGCTAGCCAGTGGTTCCTGGGGTGGGGGCTCCTGGGGTACTGCTGGGTTTCCATCCGAGTGCTGATTATAGGAGTAGACCCAGTTTGTGAAAATTCCTTGAGTTTTATAGTTCTAAGCACCCTTCTGTACATATATTAGACTTCAATAAAAAGTCAGCAAGCCAGGCACTGTGCTAATGTAATTTTACAACACCCAGTAAACAATAAGCTCAATTTACATCTCTCTAAATTTTTCTAATATTTGTGAACATATATTTTTTTATTTTTCCACAGTTAAAATGAGTATGTCCATGCTAGTTTTTATATAGGAATTATCATTGTTGGCATAACTCACTACCTTCCTGTTTTTAACACCGCTAGAGTAAAGAACACTTAAAAAACAGCAATAATTTTGGCATACTCCCAATACCATGCACTTAGATATTTTAGCTTGAACTGAAAAATTCCCGACTAGCCTCATGTTGCCTTTCAAGCGTGCATCTGGGGGACTGTTCTTTACAATCTAGGAAGACAACAGACATCTTGACTACAGATGCTACAGGAAAGGGACTGGACGAGAGGCTGTGGGCCAGCAAGCTAGTGGCCCCATATGGTGGCAGATGGGCTTGGTAGGCTTGCATAGTGCTTTGAAAATGAATGGCCAAATCTAAACAATGGGACATATTACATAAAATCTAGAATTCTGAACAAACTAAAATCATCAAAAAATAAAGATAAAAATAACCCCAGTAATCGGGCACCAAGGCCCTAGATTCCACTGTGACCCCACCTACTGAAGCAGGGCCTGCATGTGCCAGCTGCTGGGGTCACCAGGGCTTTCTGCAACTCCCATCTCCCACTGCTGTTGGGCTCATCCCTGCCTGGCCTGGTAGGTGCTGGACTTAGTGCTTCCTCCTCTACACAATGGCCAAGTGAGCCTCTGGCTTCAGTAGTCTCTGACCTCACCCAGTGGATGGATCTGAACGAGTTCACTGTGCCCCGTCAGCTTTGTCCTGTTCTCTACCTGGAAGTCTGACACGTCAGGTTAACAGGGATCCCAGGTCTCTACACAGCCTGCTCTGTCCCATCTCAGCTCCAACATCACCTGTTCAGTGAGGCCTTCCCGGACCACTCCTTCATTTTATCCCACATTATTTTTTTTTCCTATTGCTGCATGTCATCTGAAGGGATCTTGCTTGTCTTTGTGCTCACTGCCTGTCTGTGAAGTTGAATGTGTGCTGCAGGAGAGCAGGGGCCACGCCAGTCTTGCTCACCACGGTCTCCCCTGAGCCTGGAACCATTCTCAATAAATATTTTGATGAATTTGAATGAAATGCATAAACACAGATACAATCTATAGAGGATCCCAAAGGGATGCAGCAGCCTCCTTCCATCTAGCAGCATCACCTTAACACTTCCGGAAATGAGAGGGGGAGGGGTGGAAAGAGGGGCCTTACTTTCTACTTGCCTGCCATTAATTTTGGGGGGTTTTCTTACCATGGTGTCACACTTGAATTTCATTTCCCTTTATTGTTCATTTTTGATGACTTCGGATGACTAACTGAAACACATTTCAAGAGAGACCGAGGGAGAGGTGGCAGGGTCTAGGACCTCAAGGCCCTGCACACTGTTCACTCAGGAGTGACAGTCTTGGAGATGGAGGGGGGCAGTCACCAGGTGGCAGCTCTCCAGCAATTAGAAAGTGAGCTGAAACCCGGCCGCCACTCCTCCTCTAGCTTGTCCCGCTGAGAGCAATGTCAGAGACCATACTACTCTGTGCAGAGGGAATTCTCCCTCGCTGTGTAATTTGGAATTAAGGTGCTCAGCAAAGAGAAAACCCACAGGGCACAGAGATACTCACTAATTTCTATAAAGAGTTCATTTATGTTTATCGCATTTTTTGCGCTGGTCTCCACAAAAATCGCATGGATGGAGTCGGCGTAGTCCTTGGCATCTCTCTCCATGACTTCTCTGGAAGGCAACAATAGCAAATCAGAAATTCTGTCCATCAAGAACTTAATGTTATTGGGGATCCTTGGGTGGCGCAGCGGTTTGGCGCCTGCCTTTGGCCCAGGGCGCGATCCTGGAGACCCGGGATCGAATCCCACGTCGGGCTCCCAGTGCATGGAGCCTGCTTCTCCCTCTGCCTATGTCTCTGCCTCTCTCTCTCTCTCTCTGTGTGACTATCATAAATAAAAAATAAAAAATAAAATAAATAAATAAAAAAAAAAGAACTTAATGTTATCCCCACCTACCCAGTAATTAGCCAGACTCGTGATGATAAAGGATGTCGAGAATGGCTAGCGACCAAGCCCTGATACGTGGTCCTCTCAATCATACCACTTCTCTGGTTACACAGCATGAAACAGAACTCAGCACTACTAGCGATGCATCCATCTGATGGAATGATCACAGAATGGCGAGGGTTTCTTTGCCCACAGAAGTCAAGTCCTTCCTTTGGGAATCATGGAAGTGGAAACTGCCAGTAAATGTGTTTCCCTTTAAAGTATGTATGTTTTCCCCATTTGAGCACCCGATGTCATGGGAACTGGGGGGCTGCCCTCATCTCAGATAATGTCAAGGATGATGTAACCAATGTTTACATAAATCACACACCTGTCTCTGTCTCTCTCTCGCTCATCTAATCAGCCCCAAATGTCTGAACTCTTAATTTTTGTTTGAAACTTCAGGACTCCAACTAAACGAAAAGGAATTTTTCAATGTCGGAGATAAAATAAAAGCAAGATACTTAGACTGGATATTGCTCAGGAAGAAAGGGAACACATAATCAGCACTGTAATCGCCTGGTCTCCTAACGCACCTGACGTCGATAAGATCACACTTATTCCCGGCAATAGCAACGACGATGTTGGGTGGGCCGTGCTGCCGGAGCTCTTTCACCCAGTTCTTCAGTGTTGAAAACGTCTCCTGAAACACAAAACAGGAAAGCGACTGGAGGCCGAAGGAGCCAGGAGAGAGCTTTCAAAACAGCCCAAGGCAAATGGAAAGGCTTACTTCTTTTGTGATGTCGTAAACAATGATGGCTGCAGCAGACCCTCGATAGTACATCGGCGCTAAGGCACGAAACTGCAGAGGAGGGGAAACAGAAATTTGGGAGAGGGGGTTAAAGATGTTTCTCACCAGACTTTTAGGCCCCATAGCTCTGCACAAAAGGTAATCTTTTTCTTAAGCGGGAGAAGATGACGTGATGCTGCAGCAGAGGAAGCGGTCATTACCAAAGGCAAGAAACTTTTCACGTAACGCTGACCGTCTCTCAGAAGATAGTTTACAATACAGTTTTATAGGAATTAAATATGGTGCTATAGACAATTGTTTCTGCTAAAAAGGCTTTCTAATTGAACTCGATGTTATAATTCCCGAATTCATTTGTTCAATAGTCCTTTAAACTTTGGCTTCCCAAACTATCAAGGAGATAAAAATAATGCTGTAAATAGTTCTCCAGAGAAGTGGCTGCATTTGGGTGCCATAAAGATAAGCCTGTAATCTAAATGCTGATTGTACGACAGAAATGAGCACACATTCGCTACTTGGAGGAGTCTGTAGCTCACTTGTTTGATATCCGCACATGTGGCAATTCCCAAATGCGGGTACAAATTTCCTTTCATTTACATGAATTTCACTTTGTGGGCATGGCCCCTGCCCACCCACCGGCCCATACCCTACCTGAGGCAGTGAGGGGAGGGGAGGGGAGGGGAGGGGAGGCAGAGGGATAACTGCAGGGCTGTCAGCAGACCACCTTTCCTAATGAGTGTGAGATAAAAAGTGGAGAACGTACGTGAGGTTCTTGACCCAGTCGACGCCGATCCTGGGCAGCCTGCTCAGTGGACACAGGAAGTTTACCTATACTTGATCTTTGTCTCAGAGCCTGATGTGAACCTGACCCCTACGGCTGACATGGTATCATGGTAGTCTCATCCTGCTTCTCTGTTCTGGTGGCTGACCCCGAAGTACAGGGACCTGCTGTCAGAGGTGAGCATCTGGCGGACAGTCCCATTCACACACAGGGTTATGGATTCTGCAACTTCTTATCCAAAGAGCTTAACCTTTGGCTTTAAACTTTTAAGGTGACTTTTGTAAAAGACAGTGAAATTATGACTATAAATTCCATGAAGGAAGACAACATGTCTGCTTAGTGTATACCATTTTATCTCTGGAGCTGCCTGGTGCCTGGCACTGCAGGTAAGCAAGAATTGGTGAATATAAGGACTTTTTAAATATGATGTGATGTTAAACTAAATGCCAGACCAGACATCCACACATATGAAGCTTTCCTACTCTTTGTGAGAAAAATCTCTGCCACTGGGGTGAAAGCCAGATAACTTCCAACAAAATATTAAGTTTGAGAGAGAGAGAATGACAAAACTAAAGACTGTAAAGCAAGAAAGCACTACAGAATAGGAAACGTTATTAGATGGAGAAGACTGGACTCACTTCCATGGGCTGAGGATTGGTAGGAGCACGCAGAGAACATAATGGATATGGTATTAGCTTTCCTTTCCCTTCCCTTCCTTCACTCCATTCATTAATTCATTTGTATTTACATACAGTGGACACACAATGTTATCTTAGTTTCAGGTGTACAACACGGTGATTGGGCAAGTCTCTATGTTATGCTGTTTCTTTGTAAGTATGGCTATCAATCTGTCCCCATCCATCACAATTACCAACCACATTCCTTGTGCTGCACCTTCCACCCTTGTGACTTATTCATTCCATACCTGGGAGCCTGTACCCCCACCTTCCCCTTCACGCATTTGCCCAACTCCCTACCCCATTCCCTCTGGCAACCACCAATTTGTTCTCTGTAGTTATCGGTCTATTTCTTTTTCATTTGTTTTTTGATTCCACATATGAGTGAAACCCCCATACGGTATTTATCTTTCTCTGACTTCTTTCATTTAGCATTATACCCTCTAGCTCCATCACGTTGTTGCCGATGGCAACACCTCATTTTTTTTTTATGGCTGAGAAATATTCCATTATACATATGTACACACACACACACACACACACATGCCACACCTTTATCCATTCATCTTTTGATGGACACTGGGCTGCTTCCATATTCTTGGCTATTGTAAATAATGCTGCAATAAACAAAGGTGCATCTATCGTTTTTGATTTAATGTTTTCATTTTCTTTGGGTAAATACCTAGCAGTGTGAATTATGGGATCATATGGTAGTTCTATTTTTAATTTTTTGAGGAACTCCCATACTATTTTCCTTGGTAGCCGTACCAATATACATTCTGACCACAGTGCAGGAGGGTTCCTTTTCCTCTGCATCCTTGCTAACACACTGGTTTCTTGTCTTTGTTTTGTTTTTTAAGTAGGGTCCACACCCAATGTGGGGCTTGAACTCATGATCCTGAGGTCAAGAGTCAGATGCCTAACTGACTGAGCCATCCAGGCGCCCCTCTTGTCTTTTTGATACTTGCATTCTGACAGGTGTGAGGTGATATCTCTTCATGGTTTTGATTTGTTTCCCTAGTGTTCGGTGATGTCAAGCATCTTTCCATATGTCTCATCTGTATGTCTTCTATGGAAAAATGTCTATTCAGTTCCTCTGCTCATTTAAAAATCAGATTATTTGTTGTTGCTGCTTTTTGGGTACTGAGTTGTAGAAGTTCTTTACATATTTTGGGTATTAACTCCTTACCGGATATATAGTTTTTAGCTTTCTTTTTTGATATATTATAATGGCAACATACTTTACAAGGTCGTTGGGTTTTTGGTTTTCTTCAGCATTTAAATTTGTAAGGTAAAACTCATGTAGAGAAATGCAAAGATCTTAAGTTAGATAAAAGGTCTTAAGTTTTGATAAAATGACTAATGTGTATGTATACATCCATGTAAACACCATCCTACCAATATATAAAATATTCCTATCAGTACAGAAGGTTCCTTAATTCCCCTCTTATCATGCCCCTTTATTCTTGATAATCACTTGTTTTTGTCTTTTTAAAAAGATTTTATTTATTTATTCATGAGAGATAGAGAGAGAGAGAGAGAGAGAGAGAGAGAGAGGCAGAGACACAGGCAGAGGGAGAAGCAGGCTCCATACAGGGAGCCCGACGCAGGATTCGATCCCGGGTCTCCAGGATCATGCCCCGGGCTGAAGGCGGCGCTAAACTGCTGAGCCACCTGGGCTGCCCCTGATAATCACTTGTCTTCAGATCTACCTTGTTGATATTTGTTGACACTGATGTAACCGCAGTAATTTCCATTTGCTTATGATTTCCATAGGATATACTTTTCCATCCCCTTATTTTCAAGCTATGTTTTAATAGTGAAGGTAATCCTTTTATATCAGGAAGTACATTAAATGTAAAGGAACTGAACATTCTGCTTAAAAGGCAGAGGTTGTCAGACTGGATCAAACACCAAGCTCAACTATGTGCTGGTTGGTTACAAGGCCCACCATTTTTGCTGTTTTATTATTTTATTATTCTTAAAGATTTTATTTATTTATTCATGAGATACACACACACACACACAGAGAGAGAGAGAGAGGCAGAGACACAGGCAGAGAGAGAGAAGCAGGCTCCATGCAGGGACTCCGATGTGGGACTCGATCCCGGGACTCCAGGATCACGCCCTGCATGGAAGGCAGGTGCTAGACCACTGAGTCACCCAGGCGTCCCTGTTTTATATTTGTTCCATTAAAAAAAAAAAAAAAAAAAAGAAAAGAAAATCCTGTTTTTCCTTTCCTCCCTCTTTTGCATCAACTGAGTATTTTTTAGCATTCAATTTTAATATATTAATTTGCTCACTAGCTTTTAAGCTATCCCTTCTTGTATTTTGAAGTGGTTCCTCTTGTAACTACAATATACATTTTTTTTCTCATAGCCCCACTTAAGAGTTTAAAGTGCACCACCTCACATAAAATATCACAACGTTGCAAGAGTCTAATTTTTCCCCACTGTCTTCTGTGCTGGTGTCAAGTATTTAAAATCTACATACACTGTAAGCCATATAATCCAATGTTAGCATTTTTACATTAACTGCCAGTAAATAAGAAGAAAAAGAGCTAGATTTTCCTATTTACCACCTCTAGCAGTTCTTATCCTTCCTATGGATAACAGTGACTGCCCAGTGTGCTTCCTTTTGATCTGAAAAACTTTTTGGGGCTGCTGCTGCATCCTCTTAGCTTTTGTTCTTCTAAAAAGGTCATTCCTTGGTCTTTATATATGAAAGCTAATTTTGGCAGATTGACATCTTTCTGCTTTCAGCACTTTCAAGAGACTTGCGGTCCTAGGCTTCCAGCTTGCGTCATGTCTGTGAGGAGCTGGGGACCACGTGCACTGCTGTTCCCTGTGCACAGTATGTCCATTATCTCTCTGCTGCTCTCAAGGTTTTCCTCTTTTGCTTTGGTTTCCAGCGATCTGTGTGGCTTTCTTTGTACTTACAGGTTTGCTAGAACTTCTTGGATTTGTGAGTTGATGTGTTTCACCAAATTTGGGAAGTTTTCTTGAACCGTCCTTTTATTCTCTTTCCCTTCTCTCTTCACAATTCCAGGCCTCTAGTTACACATGTCAAGTTGTTGGGATCTGTCCCCGTTTCCCACTCTCTCTGTTCTTCTGGCTGGCTAATTTGTTTTGCCAGCCATCCAAGGGACTTTTCATCAGTACTGCAGTTGTCAGCTTTAGTGTTTCCAACTGTTCGATCATTAGTTTCCATTCTGTGTGAGGTTCCCCACCTACAGTTAAGTTGGTAAGACTACTTTTTCCTTGGAAGTCCGAGTGTATTTAAATGATCTGGCTTCTATGATCTTCTCTGAGGAGTGTGAAAACCTTGGACAATCACCCTGAGATGGGTTTTACACGTGATAAGGAGTGGGCCTGCTTGGTTCCACTTGTCATTCTGGGCCATGATCTCTGCCTGTCAGGCCTGGCCCTTCTGGGGTGTCATGGGAAGTCCAAACAGTTTAGCCACCTGCTCCAGTGAGGCAGGACTGGACTGCAGCTCCAAACTCTGTTTGTCCTGGAATGAGCAGCAGCTGACTCTGCTCTATGTTGTCAGTGCTCTAGCTGTTGTTCTTCTGCTGTGTACTTGCAACAGGCAGT